TATGCACCAAGAGCTTGTAACACTCCAAAGAGAAAGGAAAAATTGAAATCGCATCATATGACCCCTTTAAGTAACCAGCAAAATTGTATCTAAAATATAATTAACTATTAATTTATTGAACTATATAAAAGCAATAGTGCATTTCTCTCATTTGCATAATTAAATCGCTATGGCAGTTTGACATTAAAAAAGCCGTGAACATATCAGTCATATATGTGAGAGCAGGTCTGAGTGTGTCTGTACAGGTTATCTAGAGTGTGTTTATGTGTGGTAGCTCAGGTCTCAGCTGTGTTCTGGTGTTCTGCAGGTTACTACCCAGCGTATGAGAGTGGAGGAGCTCAGTAAATAGTGAGTAACTGGAACTGTAGGAAGTTAAGGCTTTGTTCAGCAACAGGGACGTGACGGCATGGTCTGCATGCATGAGACTCTGGTCTCCATGGCTTCTGGGAAACAGGTCGATTCAAACCACAGGTGAAAGGTCAAATGTACTGTGAGAGCCTTCACAACAAGTTGATCTCTTTCAATCCAGCAGCTAAACCAAACCACTATTCCAACAACCTAGCAGTAGACATGTCAATCATGTTAAACTAAAGTTAGTCAGCATCTGAGCTTTCATATTCCAAGATGTTTCTCCTGCAGGTAAGTGTGTGTGATTGTTTAAGCTCAATACCACAAACAGCACAAAACACTCAAGCTTGTGACATGCCCACACAATGCTGCTCCATGCCAGCTCTTGAGGTCGGCATGTCCTGAGCATCGAGCCAGAATGATTTGTGTGTGTTTGTCAGCACTCGATGATAGAGGACAACTATCACAATCCAGGATCCTGTGGTTGAGGTATGATCTGGCAGGTTTAAAAACACTCATGTGGTGTTTTCAGGTCATCTCTCTCAGAAACTGCATTGATGAATTGCAGAAGCAGTGAGTAGCAAAGCGCACGGATGGACTGACTACTGCCCTTCTGCCTTTACTCTAATATTACTATCTAACTTTACTCTAATATTATCATCTAATCATTTCACACCCCATGAAAACTCTCAAAGACACTGACACACACAAGCTGCCAGTCATATTGGATAAAAAGTTGTCATTGGCAGCACAACTTTACAAAACATGTTCTAAACCTTGATATAGGGCTGTAGTCTTGAAGCTGTTGTAGAGATGGTAAGTATTTGGGACATTTTTGTAGCATTGTGACAGACTTACCGAAGCGTGAAGCCTTTGAGAGTGAGTTTCTGTAGAGCTGTATGAGTTTTGTCCACCATAGTCAGACAGTGAACCCTCATTGCAGTTTCCTCATACAAGCTCACTCTGAGTACGTTTACATGCACTCGAGTTTGATTTCAGTAGGACTAAAGCAATTCTTCATCTGTTTTAAATTTAAAAAAAAACTTTAGTCTGACTGAAATCACACCAGTCTGGTTTTTGTGAAGTTAAACTACCAAGATAATGGCCTATACACAAATCGAATTACAGTTTGCCATGGCGAAGCGCAACATGCGACTGCTCGTACCTTCGAATTGAGCGTTATTACGACATGTCACTCATTCAAGTTTGAAACTTAACACAGAAGTAGTCTAAACAAAAGAAAATAATTTTAGGCCTATTATGCAGCGCTTATTTATCCATCGTATGACAACTAAATTGTTTTGTTAATAAAGAAAACCATAAAAGTTGAGCGATTGACCTTACACCATTTGCTACAGACTTGATTTCCAATCACTGATCTCTCTGTATGGATTATGCTTATGTGATATAATCTATATTATAGGTCAGTGTTTTCGCCGTTGACACGCCACTTTCGTCGTAACAACTCGGCAACTTCTGTATCGTCTAGAATTCTAGGTTTCCCCTCTTGTAATGATTTTGCTTAGTCATTAATGTGCTTGTAACTCGTAATTGACTCCAAATATTCGCTACTGCATTGTGTCATATATGTGACCCTGGACCACAATACCAGTCACAAGGGTCAATTTTTTTCAAAATTGAGATTTATACATCATCTGAAAGTTGAATAAATAAGCTTTCCATTGATGTATGGTTTATTAGGATAGGACAATATTTGGCCGAGATACAACTATTGAAAATCTGGAATCTGAGGGTGCAAAAAAATTACAATATTGAGAAAATCGCCTTTAAAGCTGTCCAAATTAAGTTCTTAGCAATGCATATTATTCATCAAAAATTAAGTTTTAATATTTTTAGGGTAGAAAATTTACAAAATATCTTCATGGAACATGATCTTTACTTAATATCCTAATGATTTTTGGCATAAAAGAAAAATCGATAATTTTGAACCATACAGTGTATTTTTGGCTATTGCTACAAATACACCCGTGCTACTTAAGACTGGTTTTGTGGTCAAGGGTCACATATATACTTGGACAGACAGATGAAGACTGTAGCTGGATTATAACCGTGCATGTAAGTGTACTTGATTTCTGAATTGATTTACAGACAATGAAAAATAAAGCTCACTCTTATATCGCTCAACGTGCAATACGTAGCGTAGCCTAAGTGGCACTATAAAGTACTTGTCTATTCCAGATCTGGCTTATTTTTCATTGGTGCCAGCAAATCTGAACTGTGATGAATGTGTTTGGTATACACGAGGTAACGAGTGGTGTAAATGTGATGTCTATCAGCTGCTGCGGTGATAAACATTTAAGACTAAGACAGGCCTGTTTAACAAACTGACAGAGCTCAGAGAAAGAGCGGCAAGTCCTGCATGGAGTGAACGCGATTTCAGTTCCATGTGCATGACAGACTTTGTGTGGACACAGTAAGTGAGAAGAACATCCTGCAGGACTGGACTGAGAAAACTGGGAAACAATAGTATTTGGTGTGCTCTGTGTTAGTAAAAATAGCACAATCACATAGTAAGTATTGAATACTTAAATTTGAGAAATGACATTTAAAAAAATAAATGGATCCCTGTCCTGTATGGTGTTTTTTTTTCTTCCCACTTTTCTACTACCATGTCTGCTACAGTCAGCACCACTAACTCGCTCTTTCTTTGCAATTCAGCTCCAAGAAGGGCGCCGCTGCTCGCCGCAGAAAGTAAGCGTTAATGGAGAAATCTACACTCATGGTCAAGACATGCCTGCTGCCTGCGTCTCCGAGCTCTGCCTTCAATCACCAGGCATCTCTGATCCCACCCAACGTTTGCAGTTTACCAGAGGCTGTCAAAGGCTATCTTCCACACCCTTCGTGACATCAACACTGTCCGGTCTTAGCAGTAGTTGCAGTAGGAACTTCCCCCCCTTGCTCTCTTTAGGTTCTCACCTACCGTTTTTGTAAATAATGTTTGGCTGCCAGCTTTATCTGTTGCATCTGGTAGTTCAATAAAATTATTCTTCAAGACTGATAAACTAGAATTGAGCATGTTTCCTGATTATACTGAGAAACTCTGATGCTGAAACACTGAATCAAACTGAATATGAACCTTGTAAGTCTTCTGTCCTACTTGACATGTTCACAGTGGGCTCCATGCTTTGGATGCCCTATCTGTATGTATTCATATTGCTGCAGATTGATGGGTAATTAGCCAATGACAGTGTGGATATGTCATTCACTCCAAAAAAGATGCTTCTTATCTATACATGGATCTAAACGTCTTTATGCACAGACAAATCTTTCAAAATCGCAGTTCTGGACAGTTTTTTTAAGCCAAAGAGTCATACATATCTTACAGTATATCATGCTGAAGCTTGGAAAACAACGTCATGGCAGTGGTTATGGGCTGATAGCACCATATGAAGGGAAGCAGACAGGAAAAAAGCCTTTAAAACTCCTCCAAAAAATTTAATTAAATAAAATAAATACTAGTTTAAAAAGTGAACCAGCTGGTGCTGGCCACAACCAGAAACCATTGAAACTGCAGTTTTGAAAAACTCAGATTTAATATGCACTGATTAAAACTCAAACACAAAAAGAAACTCTGTTAAAAAAATATATTTTTATGATTTTTTTATTGAAAATGGAAATATACATACAGTATAGAACACAATTAAAAACTAAGCATATTATGTATTTTGCAATTCTTCAGCAGGTAAAATGTTAAAACCAAGAACCTAAAGAGGGCTCCACAATAAAATATATTCTATAAAATATTATAAAATATTTCAGTCTATACAGAGGTATTCATTATGACCATCCATTTGCATTTTATTGATGCAACATTGCAATACTGTGGACACAGATATAAAAACAGGAACTTCACATATTCAGTTTTACGTCTAGTATCTCACAAAAAAGCTAAAGCTGTTCTTAAAATGTGCCATACTGTATAAAGCAAATTTATGTTGACTGCAACAACTTAAACCAGATCACAAAGATAAATTATTTTACATCAGCTGAAGTGCTTCATCAATAAAAGTTATGCATAATTCATACTTATTGTACGTGTATAAAATCATGTATTTTGAGTGAAGCAATTGTTCTTATATGGTAATAAATAAAGTGCTCAAAATACAGCATAAGATCAATTATTCAATAAACATGTGATTGTTATATAACATGTTATCAAATCACATAATATTCAGATCATTAAGAAGTAACACTACCAGTAGAAAAGCATCTAAATGCAATAAGTAAATCTTTATTTCAGTGTGCTCTGTGGTACAATTCCATATATACAGATCTGGAGCACATAGCTAGTATTATTACTGTTGCTGTTGGATTCATAAGCTTCCACATTACTTACACTTCATGCAGCCACCCAGTTTAGAACATTTTCTGAAATATTTAACAATCTTGGTAGAACAAACTGTATATTCTGCTCTGTGAAAATTAGCAAAAGTTACAACACTATATTTAAACTGCAGATTTTATGGTCCTTCACGTTCAAGTTGAATGATAAGTAACACTTTCTGTTATTATGGTTTAAGGTTTATGACCACTGGCAGGAACAGTCCGTAGGCTCCTGTATGGTGTAACTAACCCACGTGGAGTTTCCGCTGCAGTAGAGTTGGACTGAACGCCGCTGCAGCCCCATCTCTCTGCAGCACTTACAGAAGCGTGCATACGTGTTGATGTTGTAGTTGTAAATACTTGCAGATGGACACTTTCCATCACATGACACTATGTTGACCTGTGAACATGAACATGACCCTGTAAGCCAGTTTACAGCCAACTTAGAGCCCGATTATATAATGGGTATATTCTGAAATGAACTCACCGGTCTGTTACTACGGCAGTCATTCTTTCTAATTGTCATCCTTACTGTCACTTTCTGACATGACTTCCCGTCTTCTTTACCTACAGCATGAAAAGTCAATGGATTATCTTTTTCATCCTGTATGACAGTTCTAATCCATTTAATTAATAACTTCTGGTCTCACTATGAGGATTAAGCATCTTCTGATGTAGATTCTCATTTAAAGGGGTCATGAACTGAGAAAACAAAGTTCCCTTGATATTTTGACATATAAGAAGTCATTGTACTATAAGAACATCCTGTAAGTTTCAGAACTCAAAACTTTCTCGTTAGTCTAAAAACATCTTATATTGAAGGCAGTCAGCCAAAACGACAGATTCTGGAATGTGCCACTCTATTGGCGCTTTTCCACTGCATGGTATGGCACGGTACGGCTCGGTATGGTTCACTTTTGGGGGGTTTTCCACTGGGTACAGTACCTGGTACCTGGTACTTTTTTTAGTACCACCTCGGTTGGGGTTCCAAGTGAACCGTACCGTTACCAAAACGTGATGTGTAAACTCTGCTGATCACGGATTGGCCGGAGAGAATCGTCACTACCTGCGTCACTGAACTTGCGACACAAACCCAAAAGAACCGCTAGATTTAAATCAGCACAGCCAGCGAAGGATCGAATGCAACTGTTTTGAACGAGCGCACCTTTTTTTTAACAACCAAAAAGTTTTGTTGTCTGTTGCGGAAGTACAGACGTTCCTCTCGTTGATAGCAGAGGAGCGTATCCAGCGAGAGCTTGATAGGGCGATGCGGAATGAAAAAGTTTTTCATTTTAATTGCCCCTTTAATTGCTCCTGTCGCTAAAATGATGTTTAAGCGACTGAACTGCTTACCGTCAATTTGGGTGAAGAAAAGTTATTGACAACAGCGCATTGCTCAAGAACACTGCTGGGATGCCACTAAGTGACATCACTGGATGGCTTTGCCTCTGGTTATAAAGTAATATTTGGATTCAGCACATGCTTGAATATGCATGCGATAAATGTTCATTTAAGTGTTGTTAAAAAGCGTAATCTGTCTGAAAAGGATGAAACTGAATAACATCATGTCCTTTATGTGCATTAAGATGAATCCCGATGGGCTATTTTAATCTGGTTTAACACCGCAGCTTACCTTTGAATTTTCCAGTTCAATAAAAATTCATAGTATGAACGGTATTTAAAAAAAAAAAAGATTTTATAATAATAAACAGTTCACCTTTTTCATCCTCCCGTAAGATTAAAAGTTTTAACTTGTAACTTCACAGGATTTTAATAACTTTTTCTTGTGATGAATAACTGACAGTAGAAATAATACTATTCTTTCCCCACTTAGCTGATAAAAAAGTAATCACAATAAAACTACACATCTACTGAAAAGAAGTGATACATATGAATTTACTTGTACTCAAGATAAGTGTCATTCATTCCACCACCTCATAAAAAAAGACCCAGATGAGCCCCAATACTTGATTTTCCAATAAAATATATAGATCAGTAGTGAGCAGAAGCTGTAATGGTTTGAGTAATGTGGCAGAGAAGGCAACAACACTGGAAGGAGACAACAGATTTGGAAAACGCTTTGTATTGCTAATGTTGCCATATCACCCAAAACATTACCAAACACCCCATTACCACAAACTACACATGCTATGTGATCAGAAGCTACAGCCTAAGCACTCGGAATCATGCAGAGCTACAGAAACTCTCTAACTGGCCACTACCAACAGTACATTGTTGGCAATCAACAATGCACTGCCCGACAGAGCAAAATGGGGAAAGATTTACAGTAGTTACTTCCAAGAAACATCTGGGAGAAAAGTGACTAGAGGTATAAATGACTTAATTGAGCAGTTATCTTCAAATCTGTTGAGATTCCTGTATTGTTTGAATAGGGGGAGTACATTGTTGGAAATCAACAATGGTGATGGCGAGCCTTGAGGTCTGATGTTAGTATCAGGTACCTTGTTCACAGTTTGTGCTAACTGTGGGTTTCAAAGGGCTAACAGAGAAGGGGAACAGGGAGTTCGCAGCGCCTGGAGAGATTGTTACAGAACGTTACACTCAGCCTGATGCAAGAAATTAACTTTTTGCTGTTGTGTGCATATCAGTGCTTTTAAACAATGCTTTGAAACAATTCTCCATTGTTCCCAGGATTTATTGTTTTTATGTTAGGCCTATGAATTTTGCTCTTTACCTTGATGGTACAGAACAAAAGTCCCGTGTCTTGTTTGCTGTTTTCATTCATACATATTGAGTGCAAAAGACTTGTGGAAGAAACAGATGGAGCTTTTAAATGTTAACATTATCCATGTTTCTTGTTATAACAAGAGCAGAAATGAACAAAGGAATGTAACCTCTGTACTCACATGTCTTGCAGCACCCATCCATGTAACTCACAATGGTGCCCCCGATCTAAGACAAGATGAACATTTTGAAAAATGTAGCAGGGTTCAAACAGAAGGGACCTTTTTTTGCTAGACATGTTTTGCAGAATGTTTATTAGAGTTCTTATTGTTTTATATCCTTTGTCACGAAGGAAGCTGTCAGTATAGTATGGAACCACTGCTTAATCACTGAATCAAGACCAGCAATGTCTCATAAATGCATCATGTATTAGTTTTATATAGTATAGTGCATCTCTGTGTCACGTACATGTGTTTGTGTTTATCTTACCGGTACCTTGATGTATTATTTAGGTTTATGTTTATCAAGAAGAGAGAATTTACCTTCATGCACTCAGTTTCATTAAAGGGGGGACAGCTGTAAGGGTGGGAGACGCGCACAGGTCCTGACAGAGTGTCCATACAGTCATAGCGCATGCAGTCAGACACCCAGCTGCGTCCTGGCTGGAGAAGGAAACACACAAAATACTGTACATTTACATCACAGCAGAACAAACCCAATAGGAAAAAAGTGCTGCAAGAGAGTCGTTAGAAAAATATGAGATAAAAAAATATTTGTACATA